TGCCCCCTCCACCCGACCCACGCGAAATAGGAAATATGCAATGGCCGCATTCCTACCATAGGTGCACGCGCAGGGGGCTGGGAATCTTGTCTGGCTGCGAACCTTCATCAATACGGTTAGCTCCAGAAGGGAAATCGCCGGGCCGGCCGGGACATCCAGCGGAGGTGGTTTCGACAAAACCACGAACCTCGCATTCCTCGCATGTATACCGATCCTCTTCTACAGTGCTAGACGGAGTACGTGGAAGCACGTTTAGAACAAAAACGAATCGATCGATCGATCGATCGTAGGTTCCTCCAAGGTCGGAAAATCGTGAAATATCTTTACTGCTGTGAAAGCACCTCGCATTCCTCGCCCTCGCGCGTGTGTGCGGCCTGAGTAACCCCCCCCCCCTCCCCAGCCTGGCCAACAGCCCCCACCCAAACGTCATCGGGGCCATTGCGATCGACGACCGCGAAGCGGCTGTGGGCATGCCTATCCATCTGCCGAGGGCACACGGCGACTTCGGCCAAGTGCTCAATGACGGTGACTGGAGCATGACGCAGAAGCTGGCGCATGTGTGCCTATGTGTGTTCCAATGCCCCTGCGTCGCTGCATTGGGGATCTTGTATAGTTGGAAGGCGTCGATGTGAGCTGCTCGCGCTCCACCCGAACCACGCTGAATAAGAAATAGGTGACAGCCGCGTGTTTTCCAGAGGTACACGAGGAGGGAACTGGGAATCATGTACGCGAACCTTTAGTGGGGCGGGCGGGGGAGGGGCAACAGTACTTACCAACACGTAACACAAACGCTAAAATCGAGACCGTCATTTGCAGCAGGTCGTTGTGTGACCTACAGTATGCGCCATCCACCGAAGAAATGGCCAGTTTAGAAAGAAAGCCCACCACAGTTGAAAGTGCCAGGTGCTACAACCTGACCACAAGTACATGTACCCAGCCAGATTGCTGCACCGTATCAAACCTGAAGTATAAAGTCAATGGTGGGTTACCCCATAGAGAAGATACGAATGGAGCCTCGGGCAAGAATAGGGTTTCTCAAGTGCGGGCACGTTCTCTATCCTGACTTGATACTGCCGGTGATGATCTCACCGGGCCATGACGATCATCTCGACACGAGCGCAGTACCTCGCATTGTTGTCCGCACCCTGGAAAGAAGGCCGGGGTTCATAAACACAGGAGCACAAATTATCAACATGGGTCCTGCGGCTTGGAAGTGTAAGATTTGATGCAGCAACGGTACATCTATTGATCCGTCCTGGTCGTACACGGCAATAATCGCTTGTTTCCCTCTTCCCCGGAATTCAATCAACACGGCCGCTGCAGTATGGGAACAAAAGTAAGTATTGTTGTGGCTTGAAGAATATCTGCTGCGACCACCGCAACTGAAAACTACCCAAACGTGCTCCCAAAGAAGTGGTATATCAAGAGCCAGCTTCCCCCGAATGGTACCAACCTTCCCGCACGCGCCGCGGGGCCTCTCACCTCCTTAAGCTTCTTCACCGCGAACTCTCCCGGCAGAAAGCTGTGGGTGGCACCCTCGACGATGCCGAACGAACCCTCCCCAATCACACCGCTCTCATGAAGTGACGAGCTCGCCCCGATGCCGCCCCCGCTGCCGCCGAGAGCGACGCGGGCTGCCTGCACCAGCGCGCAGCCTTCTCCCACCGTCGCCGCCTGGCGTTGGCGCACGTTGCCGATGAAGGCGGCCCTGATCTCGCCGCGCTCGGACCCCTTGACGATTGAGCGGATATCCCCGGACAAGACGTCTATCCTTGCCCGCTTCGTCTTGTCGCAGTCGTCGCTTCCTTCCTCCACCGACGCAGCCGCGGTCGCCTTCTCCGTTCTCTTGCCGGCTTCAACGGGGACAACGAGCTTGGTCTGGTTGAGGGAGGTAGCGACCCCAGATCCTCGGACTGGCTGGATTTTTCTCTGCTTGATAGGCGAGGCACGGTTCTGGTGAAGGGGTACGGCGTGTTGGCGGTGGACAAGTCATGCTTTCGGGTGTTAGGGCCGTGGGGCGTGGGTCAATGGAAAAAAATCGCATCGGGCGTTCGTCACGGGCGGGCCGTTGGGCTTTTGGCCAAGCACAATCGCTGTGTATGGCAGGGATTTTGGTACGCTTACCAATCGCGTGTAACATCCGGTAGGTGGTATTTAGCAGGCGCCACTCGCGTACATCTAGCATCCTACACTCGCAGCCCAACCAAAGGCCCGGTTTCTACTTTCCACGGTAGTGATACTCGTTTCGCAGAGAACATCTACCTCCGTGAAAGGCTCTCAACCACGCTGCTCACGTCACTCGCTGGCAGGACGGAACGGCTTACCTCGTCACGCTTCTGCGAGAGATCCACGCCATCGTCGTCGCGGCCGTAGCTCGTTCCGAAGAAGGAGACGGTGTTCGAGCTCCAGACCTCGGAGATGGCGGCAGCAGGAGACGGCACGGGAGATGCCGGGGTGAGCGGGGGCGTGTCTGAAACGTCCAGGGTGTCTGCGTGCCCTGATCCCTGCTTGGGAGCTTTGACACCCTGATGCATTGGCAGAGAGAGGAAGGTAAGGGAGGAGGGCAGAGAACGGCCAACGAGGGAGGGAGCGAAGAGTTAGGAAAACGAAAACCATGGCGTCCACGAGCTACAACACGGGCAGAACCTAGAGGCTAGTCGGGGTGATATAAGGTTTGGAAAACAAGAGCCTCAGGCGTTCCCGTATCGTAGGAGTTTTTTTCAAGAAACTCACCTTCGCCGCGGCGGCAGAGCTGAAATCTCCACCCACCCTCGAGACGGCCGGCCGAGCAGCAGCGGACCAAGAAGAAGCATACATCGCTGCCGCGCGCACGGCTGTACCTGGCCGTTGGGGAGACGGGGAGCGGGAGAGTGCTCGCGGCGACCGGCGCGGGGACGGCGGGCGCCCGCCGCGCACCCGGGGAGAGGTGGACCTTCCGCGGGAAGGGGCGGCCGTCGGCTTTGCCTCCGGAGACGGCAGCAGCAGCAGCGGCGGGGTCACATCGGTGGTGGTGATGTCCTTCGCCTTGCACACGGCGGCGACAGGCCTAGTGGGCGTCGAGGAGGTCAGGCTCAACGCCGTCGCCGGCACCGCCGCCGCCAGCGTCTCCGTCGCCTCGGCAATCATGATGGCCGGCCTTGCGCCACCGAGAGGACCACCGTTGAGCTTGGCGACCGTCGTGATAGCGGAGGGGAGGAGGTGCGACTTGACGACGCCTGCGGCGGCGCTAGCGACGGCACCGACAACCGACGTTGTGTGGATAGTCAGCTCCCTGGCACCGCTGCTGGCGCCGCTTCGGGTGTTGCTGCAGGAGGTCCCGGCGAACGCCGCTTGGTCTTTCCCCGTGATGATGCGCTTCAGCATCCTCCGCCTCGCAGCAAGCTGCTGCGGGGGGTGCCGGATCGTTGCCCAATTGTAGAGCGGTACCGCCCGCCCCAACGAATCGATGCAGACGATCTGCCTGCCTGTCTGAAGTTGGAGCAGGACGAGCGTGCCTCCGGCGTTGTCATTGTTGTTGTTGTTGCTGCTGCTGGTGGTGGTTCGGATCACGGCGAGCGAGCGTGGCTGCGCGGGTGATGCTCGCAGCACGAGGTTGTTGTTGTTGTTGTTGTTGTTGTTGTTGTTGCTGTTGCTGTTTCTTTGGATCACGGCGAGCGAGCGTGGCTGCGCGGGCGATGCTCGTAGCACGAGGGCCTGGTTGTCCCCAGCGTCGTCTATAGCTTCGTCGTCTTGTTCCTCTCTGCTCAAAATGGGGCAAGAATAACAACTTGATCAAGCCAAACGTACCGGCATGATCATGGTGGTGGCAGTCTACGTGCAACAGTGCTCGGTCAGGACAAGGGACTGGGGCTTTTCAGACGGCCTCTAGCACCAATGGGGTTAAGCAGAAGCGGGCATTGTCGAGAGTGCTGGGGATCATGTACTCGGCACTGCTCCGTTGAACAATCTCGTTCGTGAACAACCTTGCCAATGCGTATAGTCCAGTACTGTAGTTACAGATTCTTGGTACGTGTACTGGAGCCATAACAACAAATTCGAGATCGAGGATGTGTGCCACTCTTCAACAATTTGTTGTGCCCCACCGTCCAGTCAAGTACAAATAATTCGAGGATGCGTGTCATTTTTCAACAACTTGCTGTGCGTGCTCTCCCACAGATTCTAAAACCTTTCCACCCAACAATAACGGCCAGTGGATACAGATGCCCGAGTATTGATCAAAGGCAAAATCCATGCACATTTTTTCTCACATGTCGTTTGGTGTCGGGAGGCAGCACTTGCACGCGTCCAACACTGCGGCTACGACGGGGCAGGAAACCACGCCGCCAATAGCTAACAGCACCAACGCTGCGCTGATTACCACCATGATGTTGAAACTGAACAGGACGTGTTCAGCACGAAGCAATGGGATAGCGAGGATGGCATCCTGCGTTAAGCGATAAAATCTGTCGAGCACAGACTTTCAACCACATCTACTGTACCGTAGGCTAGAAGACACGAAAAATGTAGAACAGATTTATATGCATATCAGCAAAACCTGCCCACAAACACTTCCCCCCGCGAACGCGACTGCCTGTCAAGTTCCCCGTTCCGGATATCCACCAAAATGATCAGATCACATTAGTCAACAGCAGCGATCGCGGTGCTCGGATGAACTCGAGTATCCAAGGGACAGGCTCAAGACTATAGTGTACATATTATAGCTACGTGTATGCCAGCCGCAAGAGATGAACCGAGAAACGAAGCGAAAATAGCACTTCCTTTTCGACCGGGTGTCAACCCGGGCCCTAAAGCAACAACTGACACCGCCGTGCCCGCGTAATTCGGAGGGATCAGGGAGACCCCCCCAGGCCATGCGAGTGTGTGTAGGATACGAGAGAGCGGGTTTCGTTGTCTTGAATGCCCAACCAAGTGGTAAAGCAGCGGGTTCCATCTGTAGTCTAGATTTGCCGACAATCATCAGCTACCGCTCTCGCCCGATTCGTTTGCTACGCACGCCTGATGCAGCGCTACAAGACGACGCGTAGACAAAGCAGAACATGGCCTGCACAGATGTGCTGCTACCTCGACGCCTCAAACCCTCTGAGATCTGCACCTTGATCGCGTCCAATCATCGGGATCGGATCCCGCCTGCCAACAACAATCCTGCCGCTCTCACATGTACACGTGCATGGCAAGCATGGGCACCTCTTCACATTCCTGGTACACTTGCCTTACGCCCCAGGGGGTTGATTTCCCACGCGAAAACAGCCTCGTCACCAGTGGAGGCCAGAGATTTCGGGCTTACCAGGTGATGGTGTTGTTTTGTGAGCTGAATCGTTCGGTTTGGTTTGTGAAAAGAGAGAGCCAAGAGCCACTGGCGGGAGGGAGTGTGAACGAAAAAAAAAAAAACTGGATGCGGCATCTCCGGAGACGCGGCGCTACCGATTCGGCCAATTTCAAACCAGCCAATAAAATCACCGCTGCTTGCGAGTTTCTTGCATCGTATGCCTCAACGCTCAACGCCTCCACCCTCCACCACACTCCAGGCCGCCGGCATACGCACTGCCAACCCTAGCTCACGACTATCCTTTCTCCGGCGGGTGTGCGAGCTTTAAGCCAGAGTGCACAGCCGACACCAGAAAAACCCGGTCGTTGGTGTTGGCAACCGCTTGATGTCCTCGCATTTTGGCAGGAGTTCATGAGCATTCTACATACTTCAGCATCGTCGAATGCTGCTGTAGTTGCAAGCTCCAGCTCGTAATTTGCAAGCTTCAGCTTGTAACTTTGCGAGCAGTGCTTCTTTGGTACGTTCTTGTTTGTCTTCTGCCAAACAACGTGTGTCCATGCAGGGATTTTCGCCCGGGCGCAACTTGCTGTTGTTGTGGCTGAGCCTCCAGTAACAAAGCGACCGGCGCAATATTGTTCGATCTTCGATCCAAGCTGGATGGATATATTCGCTCTCCTTGCCACCGACAGGCGAGTGAAGTATTATGACGTGCCCCTTCCGATTATCGCATTTGAAAACAAATGGAGCCCAAACTTGGAACGTTTCAATTTGAGGTGCGTGGTGGGTGAAAGCATGAGCAAGATGCCGCTGGCTATTTGCGGGTTCTGCAGCGAGCATGAGACCATGGACAAGCTCAAGGCCTGACACATATCTCTGCAAGTTCGAAGGAGCAGCGAAACCGCTACTGTAGACTGGCACAAAAGACACATGTTAATGCTGCGAATTGGTGTTGGGAGTGAAAAAATGTAGAAAGTGAAGTGAACACACTTGGCAGTGAGAAGCGAACGTAAATTTGTCCACGGCGAATATTTTCAGCTGCGTTGCTGCCGGTGAGACGCAGAAACAGCGGGCGGTAACACCGTCGGATCTGTAATAGGCACTCACGGCGGATAGATCGCTGGGAGAGTGATGTTACGATACGAGGGTTCACATCTTACACTTTCGGGTAGATAATATTAACTCAACAATTGGTTGCACCGTTTCGATGTAGGACCACCGAGAAAACGTCGGTCGAGTCACCTTTACTGTCCACCAAAAGCGGGGCCCCGTTCATCACCCTGGGGGGTTGAGTCATCACCCACCGGGCAACGATCTTTGACCAATCAACAACACATTTTTCAATTTTTCAAACAAACAGCAGAAGAAGAATGCGCTGACGTCCACAGCCCAAACGGACAAGGCACGCCACGAGATTCCGAACGCGCTCCGCCATACTGTAGAAAATTGAACTTGAACAATTTACAACAAAACAACATCGAGCCCTGTTTTTAACTTATAACTCAACAGAGCAGCACGCTTGACAAAAAAAAAAATGATCACAGCGACAACAATTTCTCCAAAACTTCTCTATCGGGACGTTGCTTTTCCCCCATAATGCTCGGACAAGGGATGCGTCCGGTCGACTCAGACACACCCCTCGGCACAACGGACCGATACCGCTCGCGAACGTCAACGAAAGCAACAGCGGAAATCTTTCCCGAGAATAACAACCAAAGATCAAGATTTGAGATTTCACCGCGACGCAAGGGTTCTCGCCAACCTCTACACGGAAACCCTCCGCCGCATTGCGGCAAAAAAAAAAAACATAAGGGGTCCCGGCTGCTGATAATGCGCACGCCCGGTTTCACAATTCGACGCCCACCATCTTCGACCGCCGAACGTCAAAGAAAAAACGTCCATCCGGTCTCCGGAACCTCTTCTTCAGGGTCAACCATCTTCTATCCCAACATGCGCCTCCTGCATCCACGCTCCCCGCCTTCAATGCTACCCCGTCCCCCCCACCCGATGTCTTCGCTCACAGAACGGCATCGACAACCACACCCGCGAACAAAACAAAGCACAACAGTCTTGTGGCCCCTCGGCGCACCCAACCCTCCGGTAAAGCATGCCTACCATCAATTCCGAAAACAAACCGAGAAGAAACTGTCCGCATCACCCTCTTCCGCCTCCCATAAAAAAATCCAGGGCAATGGAAGGAATTCACACGTCACCCGAGAGAGGATCGTCGACGGTTCGGCGAGCATCTCTACAACTCCGCAGCAAGCCATTGTCGTCGACGGTTCAGCGAGCATCTCTACAACTCCGCAGCAAGTCCTTGTCGACCCGCTCCCCCCCCCATGCCCTTGAAAAGCCCCGCGGCACCCCCCTCGGCGTCCAAGCTCTGCGTTCAAATTCGCGACGAGGGCAGCACAGCAGTGGGTGCATAGGTTCCACACGAGGGGGCGGATGAGTTAGCAGTTGGAGATGGCCACACCCTACGGTGCGATAAATGGACATATGTATATTTATATTTCACACGCACAAGAGTTCGACGAAATTCCACTGCTGTAGTAGCTTGGCATGACTATCAAGTCGGAGCTGGGTGCTGCCGAATCTATTGTTGAACAAACAGGTTGTCCACGTGTATCATGGATAGTTGCAAGAGGGTGGTCTCCACGAAAAGGAGCATGTCTAAACTGAGATGTGGGCAGCATTACACTTCCCATCGTGGGCGGTGGCATCTTGCGGCAGCAGCATTAGCAGTAGCAGCCGACCGTTTCACTCCTATCTCGGCGGAAGAAAACTCGCTAACTCGCGTGCCCGATACGGTGCATTCAGGTAGGGGCCCGACCCGTCCCATAATAATATTTTCCATTCATGCGGGTCAAAACGGAACTGTTCTGTGTTCTCGGCCGCCACGTGGAATGAATCCCGCACCCGCCCACCGCAAGCATGATTGCCAGAAAAAAAATAAACGCTGCCGACGGAGGTGCCCACCTCGACCGCCATCTACTGCGCGTCGTTCAACCGAGCTTGTCTGAAAGCACGCCAGCCAACATCAACACACTTCTGTACACGTGTCGTCACGGGGGCAGAAACCCACAGGGGGGTAAATTACTATGCACACAGAGACTCGATACGCTTTCTGCCCTTCCCTCCCTCCTTACCGCTGTATCTCTTGTCCTTCTAATGAGAATTTTAAACGTGGCTGATGTTTCCGAATTTTGGAAGCGAGCAGGCCCCAGAAATTTGGAATTCTTGAAACTTTTCCAAATGTGCCTTCGAACTCGCTTCGCAAATCTCCCTCCTTAATTTGGAAAACATTCCAAAACTTTGGAAAAGCACTCTGCTTCAAACCCAAACGTCCCTTACCTCAGCCAAGGCCGGGTCCTTCATAATTTCGGCAATTATCTGCTCCATCATCTCGGGGTCCTCTTGCCCCATTGCGGCGAGCATCTCCATCAGCTGTCACATGCCACCAACCAGGGGAAACGGCGTGGGGGGAAAAGAGGGTGGATACACAAACAGAAGTACAAGCTAGGCCAAGAAAAGAAAAAAAAAAGCAACAACCACTCGCGGGGCAACAGTCTTTGATGAAAGCAGACCGGAGAGCACTTTGGCAATCCCACACCGCCGCACGTTTCTGATACGCACGGGTGAATGACGTTTTTTTCGCAACGCAACGTAGTTGTTCTTCCTGGAGGGGGGGCGACGTAGATCGCGACATACCCTCCCCCGCCGGTCTATGTGATTTCGGCTCCGAGCGCGAACACCGTGTTCATGTAGTCACGGAATGACTGTACAAGAAGGAGAGGGAAGTGAACATGACTGAGCTGCTAAAAATAGAAGCAAAGTACAGGGAGATGTTTGAGACATGGGATAGCCAGGAGAAGACGTGAGCTGTACTGGAGAATAGGAAGTGGGCTGAAAAGGCGGCAAGTGACATCGTTAGGATAGATAGACTAGGGAAGACATTTTTGAGCCACCTTTGGCAAAGTAGGAAGAACGATTGGCCATCGGTGATCAGTCCTGTGGGAACAATGCTCCGTCTTCTCGAGGACGCATGGTCAATGGTCTGGCCGCTAAGGCATGCAAAACAAATGAGTACGCCCCCCCGGTCTCCTGACGTCCAGACAATGCCCCCGCAGCCAAGACCGTCGTACCCAAACCAGCATACCAGCCTACAACGACCCATACTCAATCCTATACACTTGCGGCCCCCCACACCAACAACAACAAAACAAGCCTTCTCATATGAACCCAAACCGCATCGTCCCCGCAACATGTAAAACCCTACTACACAAGGGAAGGACTTCATCACCCCAAACAATGCGACGTGCCATAAACCTCAAACCCCACGCTCGAGTGCTGAACAAAAAAAAGTTCACCTTGGGCAGAGGATTGAGGCCAACACGGGGGCCACCAGACAGCAATGTTGGCGGAGGGTGTGCGACGATTCGACGAATACATGGTCATACTATTGCGAGGCTTGCAAAGGGCCTGCGGGATTCATCTTCGCCAAAACCGTCCCGAAAAAGTTCGAACAAGCGCACACGGCAAGACAAGACACGACAAGAACATACCTCGTCGTCATCGTAGTCCATATCGTTGCCCACCTCCATCCCGGTCATGAAACCCTCCGCGGCTGCTTTGGCCTGTGTACCGTACCGTACCGTACCGTACCGTACCATATCGTAATTTCGTGGGTACGGGAGAGAAGGACGGTAGGGGGGGAGAGGAGAGGAGAGGAGAGGAGAGGAGAGGAGAGGAGAGGAGAGGAGAGGAGAGGAGAGGAGAGGAGAGGAGAGGAGATGAGAGGAGAGGAGAGGAGAGGAGAGGAGAGGAGAGGAGAGGAGAGGAGAGGAGAGGAGAGGAGAGGAGAGGAGATGAAAGGAGAGGAGAGTAGAGGAGCGTGGTTTTGT